GGGATATTCATCAAAGCAACATAAGCTGGTTAATACAGAGAACTGGGTCTTGCCTCTACTGAGTTCCTATTATTGATATGGTTTCAGCTTTTTTTAACAATGTGAGCAGTACCCGAACAAAGTAAGGCTAAAAGTCACAGTGAAACTGCAACCTGCAGAAACCCTGGAGAAGGCACTGTGCGCATGTGACGAAAGATGAAAACTTCCTCTAAGCTGGGTAGCCTTTGAAGTTGCATCCAAGCCCATGCTTTTCCTATGCCATACTTTCTTTCCTTGAACTTGCTTTCTCATTTGCCTTTCCATAAGCCTGGGCTGAATGGAATGGACTTGACTGACCTTTTAAATGAATCTTACCACAAATCACCTGTTTGCTTCAATTGACAAATGATTCTCATTAAGACTTACTTTAGTCAAGTTTTCATGATTCCGGAGGCTCTCGGAGAACAAAGTAGGGCACATGGCATAAAGCGGACAACCCAGGGCCTGACCTGCGACATGCAGTGGTCCAGTTGCACCCAGAGGCAGTCCCATAGTTGTCACAGGGGCAAAGAAACCCTCATCTATCCTAGACAAGAAGGCCTCGCAAGGATGCTGATGTCCCTTACTACCAGCAGAGTCAGGGTCCTCAAAATTGAGCTTGAAACAGCTTTTGTCAACTTAGGTTTTCCTTCTACTAGCCATGATGGCTCTGTTTTACCTCCACTGCCAGAGACATTATGCCTCTGAATACCAGTTCCTGTGAATCACAGGTGGAAAGGATGCTCAGGTCCAGCTTGCAAGCATCTTGTAACGGGCATCTGGTTGGCCACTGTGGAAACTGTGATGCTTGACTATTGGCCATTGGCCTGATCCAGCAGGCTCCTCTTATGTGTTTCTGTTGGGTGGTGGGGTGGTTGATGCACTAGCTGAATCCCTGTTCTGTCTCCCAGATCCAGAACTGGGCACAAGAAGACAATATAGGTCACCTTTCCCCATGCAAAAGCTGATGGTGGAGATTCATCCCTGCACTGTCCGCTGTCTCCCACGCTCTTTCCCTAGGCTGCTGCAGACATGAGAACTCAATGGGAGACAGCAGAGATAAAGTAGGTTTTTCTCCTGCTTCATCCAACCATATCTTAGTAAAACATGCCAGGCTGGTGGCTTCAACCCATCACTGACCTATCTTTGCACATCAGACGCTATAGCCTCAAAAGCCTTTATCTCCCAGAAATCCCACGATTGCAGGGAAATTCAGAATTTAGGGTCCCAGCTACCTTAGTATTAATTTCCATTCCCTGGCCTGTAGTTTTATTTATTCAAGACATTTCGGGATATCTATGCCACCCCTTTACCAAAAGGCCGCAGGGTGGTTTGCAAATTTAAAATGCTATAAATGCACCAGCTCCTTCCCCATTCCGAGCCTGTTCTTCCAAACACATCTCTCAGCAGACAAGAAACAGTTGAAAACATTCCACCCTGTTGTTGCTGTTGCCTCCACCCAGCCCATGCCCCCAAATTGCTAAGTCTACCTTTGGGCCCCTGAATCTTGCCTGGTGCAGCACAAATCGATTCTGGCTAGATTTTCAGGCTCACACACATTCTGCTGCACTTAGTGCCACGTTGTATGAACACTGAAGGGCATAGCTAACATAATTTTAATAAACTAATAGGAAACTTAAATGAATCAGCTGCTAGTTGGAAAGTGGCACTTAGTTTTTTTAATTTTCCCATTTACCACAGTACGTCTGCCAAGCAGTAGTATAGCCAACGGATCTAATTAATGCCAAACACGATCAAGGAGGCTGTAAGTAGCATGTCATTTGTGAGGCAGTCGAAAAACCCTCTTTGTTTGCAAGCTGATAGCAATGGGAAACCTCTTAAAGAGACGTGCTTTGGAGTCCTTAGTAATATGGACAGCTATGCAAAGGATCTTTTTAAGGAATGCTGACAGCACTGGGTCAATGTGGGAAAGGATGCCTATAGGATTAACTCGGGGTGAGGAACCTCAGACCTTGGGGGCCTCATGTGGCCTTCAGGGCCTTATCAGTGTGGCCCCTGGGACTCTTCCTAAGCCATGCTCCCTTCCAAACTACACCTTCCACCAGATCTGCTCTACATTCTCTTTGACTGTTTTTGCTTGGCTGGAATGGGTCCTTGTGATACTGCTTCTTGCTTGCCTGTATAGAGAAGGGTGTCTCTCTGTGTGTGTGATTTATGTGTGACTGGAATGTAGCCTACCCTATAAAGGTTAAAAGTCACATCCATTGCACCACTCACTTTTACCTCTGGCCCTTCCAGCCCCTGGCATGTGGCCCCTGAAAGGTTCCCCATGGCAGAATAAAGCACCTCAAGCTGGGAAAGATTCCCTAGCTATGGCTGAAGTGTGATACAGCTATCAGATGAACACTGGGAGCTGCCTTATGCTAAAGTCAGACCATTGAGACATGTAGCCCAGCCCTCTTGACTCTCAGTTGCATTTCCAAAAAGTAGCCTTCCTGCTTGGGCCTCTCACACCCAAAATCAGAATGGTGATGTGGGATCAATAAGCTTGGCCTGTCTCCTTTCTAACACTGAAGCCCAGTCTCTCTCCAGGGGAACTGGCAAATCCTCATCAGTGAAGATCTGACAGAGTTGCTAGGCAGGGGTAGGTCTGCCAGATGTCGTTGGGCTACAGCTCCCATCATCCTCTACTGGCTTGATGGGATTTGCAGTTTAACAACATCTGGAAGGCTGAAGGTCTTTGCTGTAAGGGAAGGGGTGTAGCTCAGTGGCAGAGCATGTCATTTGCATGCAAACACTCACAGGTTCAACCCCAGCCATCTCCAGGTAGGACTGGAGAAAACTGTTGTCTGAAAAACTGGACAGCTGCTGTCCATGAGCTGCGGGTGAGGGACCTGTGGCCCCTGCAGATGTTGTTGGGACTCTAACTCCCCTCAGCCCCAGCCAGGATGGCCAGTGGCAGGGGTGGTGGGAGTTGCCTCCCAGCCACATCTGGAGGCCACCAGGTTCTGCATCCTAAATGTTGACAACCCTGAGCTCAATGGACTGATGTCTTCACTTGGTGCAAAGCAAGCTCCCTGTTAGATAATTAACGCTGAACGTGTTGATGCCCGGAGCACTGCCTTTCTTCTCCTTTCACACTTTGTATAAGTTTGCTTTCTCCGGACCCTTCTGAGACTATCCCATGCTGAGGGAGTGCTCTCCAGTGCTGTTGGACGGGCCTCTTGGATACCTCAAGGGCAGCTGCTGCCAAGGCTGTACCTGTTATTGGACACATAAATATAGAACAGCAGTCGCCAAGCTGTCAAGGGCTCTAGCATGAAATTCACACTTTAAACGCAAAAGTGTTGAGAGAGGGAGGGGGAGAGGAAGCCTAGGCAGATCATTTCAAGCTCTGTTAGAAGTGGGGACAGGAAATCAGCATTTGACAAGCAGGAGAGAATAGTAGTGAATAAAAGAAGCATTTTGCACATCATTTTTGAGGCTGCACCGCAGCATAGTTTGCTATGGAAATCTGCTGTGTGTGCCCTTCTCTGATGACAGCCACCATTTTACAGGTTTACATCTCGCCACAACCACCACAGGGATACAGTCTGTAAAGCTCATTTCTCTGAGATGTAACTAGTCCAGACAGCTGCTTCCTGCCCTGCTGGCTTCATGATTGGCTGCACTGAACTGGAAGCGAAGGACACAAGACGAGCAAGAGAAGAGAGGGTTAAAGCTGCATGGGAAGCTTGCAAAACAATTCCTTGGCAATCCTTGTCGGGAATCCCAGGCGGCAAGGGTGCTCTTGCCCTCAGGTCCTGTGTGCATGGACTTCCTGCGAGCAGGTGGATGGCCACTACAGGAACAGGATGCTGGACTAGATGGGCCATTGGCCTGATCCTGCAGGCACTGATGTTCTTCATTTGGACTGTGTCACCCCTGCTGGTCCCCTGCTCTGCACAGTCTTCTGCTGCTTGGATCAGCTCAGGGGCCAAACGAAGGCAGGACCTTTAAATATGCATTTGCAATGCAATGCAGCGTGCTCTAGCACTGAACCGCAGCCCCACCAATGAGTCCTGCCCACAAAGCCTGAAAACAGCCTCCTGCTATGCAATTGCCACTTTGTGTATGCAGTGGGTTTGCTTCTTCAGCAGTTGTTAAGTGGCTCTTAGTGACTCAGAGGCTGAGCTGGGAGTGCCCAGGAGAAATCTTGTCTCTCCCATGAACTCTTAGGCAATTCAGTCCGCTCCTCATTTGCAATATGGGGGGATGTTATATACTGACCCGGCAACTTGGATAAAGGATACTAAGATAATGTATGAGAAAAGCTTTACTTTAACGTGCTATGTAGTAGTATTATTAGAGGGGTATAGAGAGTTGGGTGAGTCTGCAGGTGCAGTCCATGAATAAGACCTGCCCAAAGCAAACTTTGACCAATGAACAAATTTTGGGTTCCTATCCTCATCCTTTTAGAAATCCCCTTTGCCTTATAACATAAGGAAGCAGCATTGCTAGTGCATGTGTTATGTCGTCCTTTTAATTCGCTCTAGTCATAACTCACAACATCAAAAGAGAAATCACAAGAGTGAGAAAGATTAGGAATAATGTGTATCTTTGTACTCAGTAACCTATTATGTTCAGGTTTTTGTTTTTTTTAAAGACCTCCCTTTGTTTTGCTCTGCTTTGAAACTGCTGGTCACAATTCACTGCCCACATTCACTTTTCCTTTGCTAATTCAAAGAGCCACCTACCTGTTTTTCTAATGTTTGCTTCCTAGCCCACAGAGAATCCCTGCCTCTTTTACAAGGAAAACAACACCTACCAATGTATGTTTACTGAAATATCTAATAATAGGCCATTTCTCTTGAGATTAAGGACTGACAAACTGGATTTGATGCTCAGGCTAAATGGCCGTGCCATTTCCTGAGTCATCAGCATCACCTCTCGCTCGCTGTTCCCCCAGCAGTGGTGAAGAAGGGGAAAGAGCAGCTCTCTAAACAGCCTCACGTTGTCATTCATTTCCTCTTCTCTCGTAGCCTGCCTCCTTCAAGCTGAGCTGGTGAATTACGAGAGAGTCAAGGAATATTGCCTGAAAGTACTGAAGAAGGAAGGAGAGAACTTCAAGGCACTCTATCGGTCAGGCGTAGCGTTCTACCACCTGGGAGACTACAACAAGGCACTTTACTACTTGAAAGAAGCAAGGTCCCGACAGCCAACAGGTACTGGTGGTGAGGAGGAACCACTGTCAGGTTGTACCTGAATTTGTGCTCTCTTCTGCTCCTTTCACATTTGTCATCCACAGAGAGCACACACAAAAGCCAGGAGGAGGTATTAAACTTGGGATGGAGTTGCCACTTCAATGTGATGCCTTCTCCTCCCTCTCCCTGTTTACCCGTGTCATAGCATCATCGCATGCCGCATTTCCCTGCACCATTTCAGCAACAAATGATGATAGAAGCAGGGAAACACATAACATAATGGTGCCTCCGCACAGATAGGCTATGATGGATAGGCCTCCTGTGCTGATTCAAGAGACAGCTGGGAGCACTCACAATTCACAAAGGAAATTGCTAGCAGGAAGGGCTTTCACCTGCCTCATGGAGCACTTTCTCCAAAGCTGATCCTCAGAAGCAAAAACCCAACTCTAACCCATTCAGCTCTGAGAGGCATCAGCTCTGAAGCCTCAGGTAGAGGGTCTTTTCCAGCCCTGGTACCGGAGGACTTTAAAAGTGAGGCTGGCGAGGAATGGACCTGGGAACTTCACCTATGCATGTCATGGGGACCACGAAGCTGTGGCACATATTTTAAAAATAATTGGCTTTCTGCCAGAATAAATCCTTTCCAAACCAAGGATAGTACATGCATCGGCCTGTGCTGCATTACAGGCACATCACCTAAAGACTGCTGGCAGAGTCCATTTTGGTAGTAGTAGTAGTAGTAGTAAGTAATAATAATAATAATAATGATGATGATGTTGTTTATTCGTGTCCGACTCTTCGTGACCCCATGGACCAGAGCACGCCAGGCACTTCTGTCTTCAATAATAATAATAATAATAATTTATTATTTATACCCCGTCCACCTGGCTGGCTTTCCCAACCACTCTGGGCAGCTCCCAACAGAATATTAAAAACACGATAAAACATTAAACATTAAAAAACTTCCCTAAACAGGACTGCCTTCAGATGTCTTCTAAAAGTCAGATACTTGTTTATTTCCTTGACATCTGATGGGAAGGCGTTCCACAGGGACCTCTTTTGGACAGAGGTGCTGAGTCACCTTCATGATGCCACCTCCACCAGTTATCAGCACAATCAAAACAGCCACCAGCAAGCATCTGACTGGCAAATGAATGGAGCAGGGGCGGGATCTGCTCATAAGGACCCATAGATTGGGACTCTAATATCCAGATGGGTTGAGGTCAAGGTCTCTACTTTAGTCAAAGAAATGCAAGATGCGCGGTGTTCCGTTTTCCACAAGACATGCAACAAATTTAGGCTCGTTCTGTCCTCTTAATATCCCATGTGAAGCATTTTGTTTCCATCTGTCGTGTTTGGGCAGCATTCTGCCTGAAGCGGTTTCCATTTGGCTTGAGCAGCTGCACACCCTATACATACTCAGCCAGTGTGTTTATACACCCTTTCAACTAGCCTGGCTAGATTAGAGGCTACCATCCCTCCTCTGCCTTTCAGTTAGTTCCAGGAAATGCCTTGTGAAGATGACAACTAATGAGAGGAGAGAATTGAATTACGCTCAATTCTTCTTCTTGAGGTCCACGTAAAGTTCAGATACAGGTCAGTTTTTCCAGCTATTGTACATTGCATCAGAATTATAACCCTTCTACACATCTCTGTTTCCATTTTATGGCATACAATCTGCTTTTATTCATTTATATAATAGATGTTTGTTTACTTTTTAAAAATAAGTTGCCTCTAAACCACATTTTTTGAGAAGAATTTTTAAAGACTAGAGTGAGTTCCTGTTTATGTAAAGAGAGAAAGAGAACTGATCTGAAACTGCCAACAAACCATGGTGGTCCACCTCTTTGTTTTCAAAAAAATCAGGACCAGTTGCCACAGGTTAGCCGCCCTTAATTTAGGTGCTCCGTTGACCTCAAGGCTTTTATTTAGCTTCCATTATTGCTGTGAATTTGCCCTGGGAGCTTGCCCTGGGAGCTGTCCCTGGTCCTGCCCTGCTTGACCCAACTTCAGCTATTTGGGTCCTGGATATCTGGCTACAGGGATGCCTCCTCTCCTCCAGCCCTTGTTCAGTTGCCCTTATGGCTTTGCCAGAGGAAGATACCTGTCAGTGTCTTCCAAACATTGGAAATGTCTCCTGGATCTCTGCATTTTGAGGGGAGAGTGGTGCAGCCAAGAAGAACTGAGACAGCTCTTTTTTAGAAAAAGAAAAAGGCTGGAGTGGTGATATAAGAAACTTGGAGCACTTTCAACAGTAATGTGTTATATAAATGTTTATTATGACTCTAACTACCATTCTAGCCTTCCTTGCCCCCAGTTTTTCTGTCTGTGAAATGGTGGCATTTATTTCTCCTTAGCTTTTTGTGAGGCCTCACGCTTGAAGTATCCCAAGAGTGTGCTGTCTGAGTATATCTATTTAATAAGGATGCATTAGGACAAGCCGGTGGAAAATTACTTCCCTGAACAAAAGAATTTCTTAAATGGCCAGCAGGAGTTTGCTTCACAGAAGGCTCCTCTGTTCTGAAAGCCTGCTGGTGGTGAAGCAAATCTCTTAAAGCTATTTATTTTCCTGCCAAAGGCTTACAGAGCTGAAAACTAACCTGCCCAAATTGCTTTTCTCCCTGCACTTTAACCTCAACCCACAAAACAAGCTGAGAGGGATCTGAGGTAATTCTGCAGTTCCCTCATTAAACAAGGCAATCTGAAGGAGGACAGGAGGCCATTAAAAAGTTGTGGTAGCTTCTCGTACTCCTGATATGAGCTAGGCTGTTGGTACAGCTGAAACTTTTGACGCTTCTTCTTCTGCAAGGATCTCCCTGTCTAGAGAGCCTCAGCATACCTAACAAGAAACTAATTTCTGGCAATTTCCTCTCTGGAAAGGTAGGCAGAGGCTGGCCCCAACCATCAGTCCTACATTTACAGAAAAGAGGAAAGGCCTCCTCTTTATGTTGCTCCCACCATCCCTGACCACCAGCCAGGCAGATGGGACTTGGAATCCAAGAACTTATGGGAGAGGGGCAGAATAGAGGATATTATTACTAGAACTGTGATGGTGATAATGTCTTCTTCTTACTCCTCTTCTTCTTGTCGCCGACAGAGTACAAGGCACTTTTCAACATACCAGAGGATAGGGTCCCTGCCTCACGGAGTTAACAGTTCAAAATGTGACATATGGGAAACAACAGAGGAAAGGGGAGGAAGGGGCAAACAAGGGGGTCATATGAGCTATTTCAGTGGCGGGTACTTAGGCTTAGTTACAGGCTGGGTCGCAGAGGTTCATGAAAACTAGGAGGTTGTACCAAAAGCTTCACAAAAAAGGTGGTATGGAGGAGGAACTGAAGGAACTAAGAGAGGTTGCATCATGCAGGTATTCAAGGAGGCAGTATCAAGCATGTGGGGCAGCAACAGAGAAAAGGTGGAACTGTTGGCAGTTTAGCAATGTACTGTTTACTTGCATTCTTTATTTCCCAAGTATGTCAGCTCCTTTAGAATATAAGACCTGCAGACCAAAGGCACATCTAGTCTAGCACCCTCTTCGCAGAGCGGTCAGCCAGATATCCCAGGGAAACCCACAAGTGGGACAGGAGCACAGAATCAACTCTCCCCACTGGTGTTTCTCCAATAACTGGTGTTCGGAAACATGTTGGAGGTAGTACACAACCCTAAAGACTAGCAGCCATTGGTAGCCTTATCATGAAGAAATCTGTCTATCACTTTCAAAGCTGTCCCAAGTCGGTGGCCATCACAAAATATTGTAGCAGTGATGTGGGCTGTGACCACTTTGCCGTACTTGCAGTCATGCTTGGTGCCTTTGCAGTACACATTCCCAGACCAACAAACACTCTTGTGGGTGCCCCAGCACACACATAAAATGGTACAAATTTTCTGATGAAAAAATGTAGCATTGCAAGACATTAACCAAAGAGGTAAGGGATGTTAAGTTGCAGTATTATCAACTCCAACTGAATGCAAAGCCATTCGTACTCAACTCCTAAGAAGAGAAGAGGGCCTATTATCAATGGAAATGTTTGCAAAAAGATCTTGGATCAAAATTTCAGTGAAGAGTTTCTTTTTGCGGGGATCTGGGCTTGCAGGTGGCTGGGGAAGGACTAGGCCCTGCAGCATCTTCCAGACTTTGCTTCTGAGAATATAAGTGGTTTGTTTGTTTTTTAAAAAAGTCTGAGATTCTGTGCTAAGACTTGCCTGAGAGACTTTTAGCTAGTGAGCACTGAGAGTGTCTTCTGGCATGTTAACTTGCTTCTATTCTGCCCCTAGCTCTTGAAAACAGAATGTCTTTGATAAATTATCTACGTGGATGGATATGTGCTGTGGTGGGTCACTGCTTCTCTTTTTTTGTGGTGCTGATGGTCTCCAATTGGCACATTACTGGGCTGAACCTTCATCTATTCCCCCTTCTCCCTCCACTTTTAGGTATCTGGTTGCTGCAAGCTTCAGCATGTGTGATTTCCTAGCATGCCTAGGCAATTAATGCTCACTATGTTCACTTGGCATGCATTCAAGATGTAAATGTATGTCATGAGGAAATTTACAGAGGATAAGAGAGGAAGCTACATTCATTACTTTGGTTCCATTTGGGGGTTAAGATCCATTAGGAGTATAATGACTTACATTGTAGTTCCACGTATTTGAAATTTTCAGCAAGGAGTCAAATCCGGTTTTCTTTCCTTAATATGAAGGGTGCTGAAGGGATCTGATTAGCCACAAAGCTAGTAAAACATGCACAGATTTTCCTAATTGCCCATGATGTTATTTATTTTGATCCTGCTGTTCCATCCAAGGACTCTCAAAAGTGGTGTGCAGATAATTAAAACAATAAAATTTGAAAACAGCAATACAAAAATAGGAAACGGTTCAACAGCAATACCCACATTAAAACAAAAACAAAAGAACTGGGACACTTAAGATAGGAAAAAGATGTACTCAATATGTGCACAGGTCTTTTTGGCTACAACTTCCTCAGCCCCTGTTGTATCAAGTTGGCAAAGACTGCACTATTGGCCCAACAAATGATACCTCTTATCTGTTTGAACTGAGGATATAGCATTTAAACAGAGAAAATAGCTCCAAAGATCCAGCTGACAAGATGATGGTGGACACCAAGGGACGCTAGGAGAGAATTAGATAGACAGACCATAGAATCATAGAATTGTAGAGTTTGAAGGGACCCCAAGGGTCATCTAGGAATCCTGCCCTGAGTGAGTCCAAACTGCCAACTTTCTGGTTAACATTAACCCATATTGCCACTCTTCTCAGGCTACACCTCAGTACCAGTAGACAGAGGGAGACGGTGCATTAAAGAGAAACAATAGTGAAGTCCTGAAATATATACAGTCATACCTTGGTTGTCGAATACCTTAGTTGTCAAACAAATCGGCTCCCAAACAATCGAAACCCAAAAGTGAATATTCCAGTTTTTGAACTTTTTTTGAAAGCTGAATGTCTAATGCAGCTTCTGTGACTTCCGATTGGCTGCAGATCAGAAGCTGCGCTTTGGTTTCCGAACATTTTGGAAGTCGAATGGACTTCCGGAACAGATTCCGTTTGACTTCTGAGGTACAATTGTACAGAGACTGGAAAGTTCATCAGATGTTTTTTAAAGGTCTTTTAGGACCTTGTAAGGGATCCCTGGGTACAGTTCTTTGATCATGCAGTATTGTCACTTCGGACTGCAAAATGTCACGGGCGCTCACCTTGAGTGCAGGTGGAGAATCGGATATCTTGTTCTCTTCTGTCTCCCCCCCAAGGTTAGCTGCTAGGATCTCAGTTTTCATATTTCTTAGGCAATGAATCTGTGCACACTTGACTTCAGTAATTAAAACCACCCTTCCTGTATGCATGATCACGTTACAGGGCACAGTTTGCCGGGAACACTGCAAGGTTGCAGCAGCATCTGCATAGTATCATAACTTCCTGAGCATTTAACATTTACCTAGCAAGATGGGTGGGGGAAATTGAGAAGGGAGATGAAGAAGGGCATGGGTAGAGGAAAAGAAAAGATATGCAACAGAGGCCACAATTCCAAACAGTTCCAGAGACAGAGAAAGCAATTTTTGCCATATTCTCTGAAGCAAGTACTAGAACCCAAGAACCCTGTTAGGGTGTCAAGTCTAAAAGTCCATCAAGAATCCTGTTTCCAACAGTTAATCAGCCAGAAGCTTCCAGAAGGCCCGCAAGCAAGGTGCAAAGGCAGCACCCTTCTTGTACCCAGAGGCATAGCCTGACCATAGCTAGGAGGCATTTGATAAAATAGCTGGTGTTGCATTTGAAGTGCAAGGATTCATCATGACAGTGCCTTCCAAGATGTGCCCCAAGCAAAATCTAAAAATTCAGGCAGTCGCATTAATCCATGCTTACACACAATGCGGCCCACAAAAAAATCAGTACATAGCATAATGATCAGTTTATTAGGATCACTATAACTGCACCTTGTGTCTCAGAAGCAGGTGCAAGAAGACAAGGGCTATTGTGCGCAGGACCTGCTTGTGGGCATCTCGTTGGCCACTGTGAAGACAAGTTTGCTCTTATTCAGTGCTATTTTTCTAGAAAAAGAGGTGCCAGAACTCTCCAGGAATGCCTCCCTTGTTCTCTTAATAACAGCAATGGCGCTCACCTGAGAGGTGCTGGAAAGAAGTTCAATCGAGTTCCGGCTGAAAAAAAGCCCCGCTTTTATCCAGCAGGTGTCTTCTTAAGTTCTAGCGTGCACAGCGACCTGAGAGTAAGGCTGACTGAACTCAGCAGTGCTTACTTCTGACTGCATAAGTTCAACTTGTTAAACAGAGTGAGCTTTAACAAAAGACCTTCAGCCAGCTGAAATTCAACCTTGAGCTTTTAATTAGAAATGAAAATGATTGCACAAAGAAGTGTTCGCATTTAAACTGCTAGCTCAAGGTAGGAAAGGAAAAGAGGCACCTAGCTTTTTCTCGATGATCTGCCTCTTCTCTGGCTCCCTCTGTGCTAACCTGTCAGATGCAAACGTTTTCACTTCACACAGCAAAGAGGGCCCATCAATTATCCTGGCTCTCTGGCAGGTGACATCATTGCTCCTGCTCTGGAAAAAGTCCCAGAGTTGTGCTCCTGTGTGTGTGTGTGTGTGTGTGTGTGTGTCCCCTCCCCACTGCTCTGCACCAGTGCCTCTCAGGCTGTAGTTGCTTTTCTGACATGTTCACCTGGAGTCACTTAGCAAAGTCTAGCATGTCCAAGAAACAGAACCAGGCGGGGTTATGCAGATGAAGGGGTGGGGTTATGTTGATTGGAATGGACTCACTTCTCAGTGGCTCCTGTTGAGTTCTATGGGACAAAGCAGATAATCTGCAGAACAGAGCCTGCCACATGTCTGCCATGGTGTTGCTAGTGATCCCTGCAGCATGTAGACCAACCTGATGGCCTCCCGATGTCTCAATCATGCATATTTCACACTTAACAACTATGGTCTAACACAGGCATAGGCAACCTCGGCCCTCCAGATGTTTTGGGACTACATTCCCATCATCCCTGACCACTGGTCCTGTTAGCTAGGGATCATGGGAGTTGTAGTCCCAAAACATCTGGAGGGCTGAGGTTGCCTATGCCTGGTCTACCATGACTGGTGGCTGTGCTAAGCTGGTGTCTTTTGACCCTCTTCCCCCTGCAGATACCAACGTTGTGCGGTACATCCAGTTGACAGAGATGAAGCTGAGCAGATGTTCCCAGAGGGAAAAAGAAGCTTTGTGAGAAGGTGTTGGATTGCATGAGAGGATGTTTCCTCCCCTGAACGCCCCTCAGGCGAACTTTTCCTCTCTCATGGCTCCACCTTAGCTGACAGTCTCTTCCCACCAACTTCCTGCTTTACTTTTGATCCCAGCTGGAGTGGGGTGGGGTGGGGTTGCTCATTGGTATTAGAAAGAAGAGACTCAAAATCCCGGTTCTGGCTTTGGCTGCTTGACGGCACAAATCTAAGCCCTCAAAGCACAATCGATACAGCCAGTGGCCTTCCAGGACTTCTATCCAAAGGTTCAAAGGGAGCAATGGAAGGCCATCTCCTCCACCTTGTGCTTTTACCATTCGCTGCTGCTGTCACACTCACCAGCAAACAGAAGGATCGTCAGCCTTTCTTCTCAAATCCAGAGGCAACAAGGAGGGCTGAGAGTCTGCAGCCGCCTCACCAGAACCAGACCCCCGTTGGGCAGCTTTCTACACCTGCAGATTTTTAAGTTGCAGCAAGAAGCGGCCTCCCATCCCACAGAGGCTTATTTGGCAATACATTCTGATGAAAGCACACTGGGGAGAAATGTACTTTAAGCAAGTACTTTATAGAGTCCAAAAACTGGGTGGGGCTTTAGGGACATGGAAGAACCTGAAACAGAATGTGAAAGGACACTATTGTTTGGGGAATGAAACTGTGGAATGGTTAACTAATATCAAATACATGTTGTTTAACAGGCAGCAACCCCATATATTATAATAATAATAATATTTTTCGGAAGGTGCACCTGGTCCCTTTGACCTAAAGAGGCAGCATGACCGTGTAACTAGTCTCAGCTCAGACAGTGCAAACTGGAGCACCAAATTATGATTTTGCCATCATCTCGATAACCACCTGTGGGCAAGTCACTTACCCTTTCTGTGCCTCAGTTTCTCCATCTGTACAGTGGGGACTATAATGCCTCCCTACCTCACAGGGGGTGTTGTGAGGATTTGTTTAGTTGATGTTTGTACAGTGCTAAATATTATTATTGGTACGCTGGACTGAGTCTGCAATCCTTCCGTCTCGTATTAGTGTCTCTCTGAATCGTCTCTCTTTCATTCGTACGGGGAATGCTGATGCCAGGAAACGGTTATGCAGTGAAGACGCCTTAATCCAAAGAGCCAAACAGGAGGGATGGAGCAGGAAGACTTGGTTCAAACCTCCCCTCCAAATCCCTCTCCTGGCCTAAGCCATTATTAATATTATTTATTTATTATTATTTATTATTTATTAAAATTCTATATCACCCTTCATCCAAGGACTACAGGGCAGTTTAAAATATTAAGCGCACGTGCTTTTAGGCTCACTTATTTCATTGGGAAACTAAACCTTTTCTGAATGTTCTCTCTCATAGAAATCAGCTTTAAAAATGTAGCTCTTCACTCAGAGGCACATTTATTATTGCCGAGTGGAATGCTGTTGTGTGTCATAATCACCCAGCTCTCAGACATGTTCTGCAGTGTGAATGGTAGAAACACACTTCTCTTCCTTGTAGCACTTCGTCATTTAAAAAAATGCTTTTGGGGGCACAGCCCAGCACTCTTACACAGCTCCCTGTGGAGCAGCAGACGGAAACCTATCGTTCTAAGTGTTAATAACGGTCCTGTTTTATGGGCAAGAGTCCCTGTCACATCTTACCATGCAAGTACCTTCTCACAGGTATACCAGGTTTTACATCCAACACTATGAAATTGGCCTAAACTGTACTTATAGGCTGCAGGCCAGTCAAAATCCTCATGCTGTCTTTGCATCCTGTTGATGAAACAGTATTTTGTAGGTCATGTTTTTCAGTCTTCTGTAAGCTGTGGGCTATTTATTTTTCTTGAGGTTTGTGCAGTGCCCCTTGTTCTGTAGTAGCACATCTCCATCATCCTGAGAAAACCCCTTCATCCTGATTTTATTTTATTCTTTGTTAGATTTACAAAAAGAAAAACACACACCAGTAAATAAATTTTAGAAACATGTGGGGTTGGGTCTGTTGGGATGCGTCCGGGGAGAAATGGGCATTTGGCAGGCCCCCAGTTGGCTACATGTGTGTGTTTTTTAAGTATGCCAGAATCCATTTCAGTTTTCAGAGTTTCCCCTTGACACGGTGAAGACACACAAGAGTGCCTTCAAGTATAATATTGACTACACAAACCTGATACAGTGAAACACACACGTAGCAACTCCTCCCACCCTTAAAAAAAGGGGGGGAAGTCACAGGTGATGTTTGGTGAAATTACTACAGCCGTTGGACAGCTTTTTCACCATACATATGCTTGCATTTGAAGAGACCAAAGACATACAGAAAAAGAGGCAAGCCATTGCCAAGACAGAGTAGAACAAAACATGATCGGAACGGGCCCCAAGTGAAGGCAATGTAGATGCACAAACAGAGACTGGCTCCCCTTGCCTATCCATTAAAAACAACAATACTCAAGTTGCACAGAGACTTCTAACTGTTATCAGATGGAATTGCCCTTTAAAAGTTTCTAAATGGCTACCTTCATAAAGTTCTTAGCTTGACTTCATTCACTTGCTCAGAAGGATGCCCAGCTGAACAAAGATCCAGGTCTTGACAAGCCTTTCAAAGAAAAGAAGGGAACTACAGGAAAGTTACTCGCTTTGAAGTGGAAGATGATTGCGTGACTTGATGCTTTTTCTATTAATATTTACCGTAGGTGGAAATGAAAGAACACCTGCAGATGTAATGATACCACTCACTTCACATTTGCTATTGGGCAGGCATAAATTTCTGTCAACCATTATATATGTGTGGGTGGCTGCTTGGCTGTGTGTGTGTGTGTGTGTGTGTGTGTGTGTGCGCGCGCGCGCGTTTGCATTCAAGCACACAGGTTTTCGTTTTGTTTCTTAAGCCACAGCAAATGAAGAAGACTCAATTGAAAAATTAGTTTGATGAGAAAAGTAACAGGGTGCGTCAAAGACAGAGCATAAGAGGAATAAGAACTTGATTGGCTTTCAACCAAACTAAGGACGTGGCCCATGCAGAAAGGAATACCCAACCCTTTCCATGCATTTAAATTTGGCAATTGCAGGAGTGCTTGACTAGTCTTAAAACTAAGGTGCATGTGGGGTCAATTTTGCCATGTGCATGTTTGTGCTCTGCTGTTTACACAAGTGCTTTCGGTTTTATGTCTCCAAAATAGTGGATGAACAGTGGACACCAATTTTTGGTGTGTGTGTTCATGCTGTGCATTGTTGTCCCCTCTCCGCGGTACTACTCCAACTTCTGTGAGTTCCCAAAACTCACGGGTCAGTTGTGAGCATGCACACGGGTATTTGTTTACCTGTGCGTGTGTACACCTTTTGAAATTAAAAAAGAATGTATGTGGAATTGTGCAATAACAAACTTCCACCAAAGCCAATGTAGACAAAACAGTCATTCTTTAAAAATAATAAAAAATATGAATATACATTTTTTGATCTACCGAATCAGTTCAAAAGAGCAGGTAAGAAGAAGAAGTAGTAGTATAAGTGTATGTTCTACCCAGCCACACCAGCAGCCCACCCAGAAGTGCCTTGCAAGAGCAAAGAATAGCCAGATAGGTGGGGGCCTGGGCACCACTGATCCACAAGGGAGAGAAAAGGGGAGGTCCTGCTTTGTCTCGGGATTCTGCAATTGACTAATTGAAAACTGCTCACATTTCTGAAGGCTGTATAATCATCCCCCACTGCCCCACACTCCATTCATGTGCTGCACTTGCCTTTTCGCATGCAGGAAGCAATTTTTATTTTTTAATACAGCTGTTTTGCACTAGAGCAAGTCTAAAAAAGCAAAAAAGCTGTTTTAATTCATTCATTTTTAATCCACAAATGCAGCATCCTTTCCTCTGGGGTGATGGGAGCAAGGAGTGTGGCAGTAGACGGCACCTGGCGAAACGTCACCACACACATCAATGAAGCCCCTGGCCAAACAAGGCGTGTCAGTGCCTCCACAGCTGGGCAAGATGCAATTTTATATTGGATTCACTTCTCTGATTGGATTGTCTCTGGATCAGGAAGATCCAGATTGAACAAGGGGAAAGTGCAGGCTGGCCTTTGGGTCAGGGGGATGTTCATGAGGGTGACACTAAAAAAACGAGGCACAAGTAGCTTCAAATCCACATTAAACTCCCATGTGGATGATGTAGGAATAGTCAAGCCTGGATTAGACAAGAGGGCAATGCAGCTAAGAAGGGAATTTGGAAGGTACACCAAGGGAAGACTTAGGTAATACGGTGCCTTGAGGGAGGACAACATTTGATTGCCCCACCCTAAATAGTTCTTTTTTACATGCCCTCCTCCCTAGAATCATAGAATCATAGAGTTGGAAGAGACCACAAGGGCCATCGAGTCCAACCCCCTGCCAAGCAGGAAACACCATCAGAGCACTCCTGACATATGGTTGTCAAGCCAAGCCTCTGCTTAAAGACCTCCAAAGAAGGAGACTCCACCACACTCCTTGGCAGCAAATTCCACTGTCGAACAGCTCTTACTGTCAGGAAGTTCTTCCTAATGTTTAGGTGGAATCTTCTTTCTTGTAGTTTGGATCCATTGCTCCGTGTCCGCTTCTCTGGAGCAGCAGAAAACAACCTTTCTCCCTCCTCTATGTGACATCCTTTTATATATTTGAACATGGCTATCATATCACCCCTTAACCTCTTCTCCAGGCTAAACATGCCCAGCTCCCTTAGCCGTTCCTCATAAGGCATCGTTTCCAGGCCTTTGACCATTTTGGTTGCCCTCCTCTGCACACGTTCCAGTTTGTCAGTGTCCCTCTTGAACTGTGGTGCCCAGAACTGGACACAGTACTCCAGGTGAGGTCTGACCAGAGCAGGATACAGTGGCACTATTACTTCCCTTGATCTAGATGCTATACTCCTATTGATGCAGCCCAGAATTGCATTGGCTTTTTTAGCTGCCGCATCACACTGTTGGCTCATGTCAAGTTTGTGGTCAACCAAGACTCCTAGATCCTTTTCACATGTACTGCTCTCAAGCCAGGTGTCCCCCATCTTGTATTTGTGCCTCTCATTTTTTTTGGCCAAGTGCAATACTTTACATTTCTCCCTGTTAAAGTTCATCTTGTTTGTTTTGGCCCAGTTCTCTAATCTGTCAAGGTCGTTTTGAAGTGTGATCCTGTCCTCTTGGGTGTTAGCCACCCCTCCCAGTTTGGTGTCATCTGCAAATTTGATCAGGATGCCCTTGAGTCCATCATCCAAGTCGTTGATAAAGATGTTGAATAAGACCGGGCCCAAGACAGAACCCTGTGGCACCCCACTAGTCACTCTTCTCCAGGATGAAGAGGAACCATTGATGAGCACCCTTTGGGTTCGGTCAGTCAGCCAGTTACAAATCCACTGAGTGGTAGCATAGTCAAGACCGCATTTTACCAGCTTCTTTACAAGAATATCATGGGGCACCTTGTCGAATGCCTTGCTGAAATCAAGGTAGGCTACATCCACTGCGTTCCCTTCATCTACCAGGCTTGTAATTCTGTCAAAAAACGAGATCAGGTTAGTCTGACATGACTTATTTTTCAGAAATCCATGCTGACTATTGGTGATCACAGCATTCCTTTCTAGGTGCTCACAGACTGTTTGCTTAATGATCTGCTCCAGAATCTTCCCTGGTATTGATGTCAGACTGACTGGGCGATAATTATTTGGGTCCTCTCTTTCCCCCTTTTTGAAAATAGGGACAACATTTGCCCTCCTCCAGTCTGCCGGGACTTCGCCTGTTCTCCAGGAATTCTCAAAGATGACTGCCAGTGGTTCTGAGATCACATCTGCCAGTTCTTTTAATACTCTTGTTCTTTTAATACTCCCTCTCGCCTTCCATCCTGTGCCCCTTTCTCAGCACCTCCTCAGCTGGGCACCCTGTGCAGGGGAACTGCCTGCCCCACCCTCAATCCAGCACTGGGTGCATCATCATCATTTGGGCCTTGGAGAAATGAAGATTGTTATGCATTACAATGTGATAGACTCTAATTTTTAAAACAACGGAAGCTTTCTTCATATGAT